CGTCCGTCCCCCCAGTCGGGCCAGGCGAAAGAGGGGGATTGGGAAAGGGGGGGTTACGAAATTTGCTGCATGCAGCTAGTTTCGGCTTCACCGAGGGGCCCATTCCTCGATACATAGCCGCCTCCAGCGCCGGGAGGCGCCGGGAAAGTCAGCTACGTGAGCTGATTTTCAAACCCCCCCTTTGCTATCCCCCCCTTTCGCCCGACCCGACCCAGGGAGCTCCCCTGGTCGAAAAGTCCCCGACCTGACTTCCTCCTGGAGGAGCCCGGTCGGATTCCAGGCTGCAAGTTTGGCGGCGGCCCGCTCGGATTCCAACATGGAGATGGGGGTTCCCGTATAAAGGGGGCTCCCGCCTGAGACTTCCGCGCAATTCACTCACAGACGAGGCTCCCGCCTCAGACTTCGTCAATCTTCAGGCCTGAGGAGCCCGAAGCTGACAACAGTTGCATGTTTCCGATGACCCGCTCGGGTCAAAAGCATGAGGCGCGGGATCCATAGGGAGGAGGCTCCTGCCTGAGCTTTCCTCGACATTCACTCACAGACGAGGCTCCCGCCTGAGACTTTCTCGAGATTCAACCCTGAGGAGCCCAAAAGTGATGACAGTTAAAAGTTTCCGATGACGCGCTCAAATTAAAAAGATGAGGTGGGGGACCCATAGGCAGGGGGCTCCTGCCAGAGACTTCTTCGCAATTTACTTACACACGAGACTCCCGCTTGATACTTCCCCCATATTCAAGCCGCAGGAAAGCAAAAATGTTTCCGATGACCCGCTCGGGTTGCAAACATGAGGCGCGGGACCCATAGTCCGGGGGCTCTCGCCTGAGACCTCCCCGCAATTCGCTCACAGACGACGCTCCCGCCTGAGACTTCTTCAAGATCCAGGCCTGAGAAGCCCGAAAATGACGACAGTTACATGCTTCCGATGGCCCGCTCGATTGAAACATGAGGCGCGGGACCCAGTAGGAAGGGGCTCCCGTTTGAAACTTCCCCGCAACTCACTTACAGGCGAGGCTCCCGCCTGATATTTCTTCAAGTGTGGGTGTGAGTTATTGAGTGAGTGAGTGAGTGTGTGAGTGAGCAAATGAGTGAATGAGTAAGTGAATGAGGATTAGGATGAGGATGAGGATGATGATGATGATGATGATGATGATGATGATGATGATGATGATGATGACGATGGTGATGGTGATGATGGTGATGATGGTGATGATGGTGATGATGATGATGCTGATGATGATGATGATGATGGTGATGATGATGATGATGATCATGATGATGATGATGATGATGATGCTGATGCTGATGCTGATGCTGCTGATGATGATGATGATGATGATGATGATGATGATGATGATGATGATGATGATGATGATGATGGTGATGATGATGATGATGTGTGAGTGAGTGTGTGCATGTGTGTGAAAGTGAGATGATGGTTATGAATGAGTGCGTGTATGTGTGTGTGTGTGCTGATGATGATGGTGATGATGGTGGTACTGATGACGAAGATGAGTGTGACAGCGATTGTGATGGTGATGGTGATGAGGTGGAAGGCAGGGGGAGGGTGGGAGGGGAACCTGCGCGGAGGTGCGCAGAGAAAACAAGAATCCCACTCAGGATGCAGAGAGCAATAATCCTGGCGAAGGACCCAACCATGTGCAGCTGTGTGTAACGCAGTTGTGGGTATCGTCCTCGGTGAACCTCTCTCTCTGGGGCCACGACGCGTTTGACGGGTGTGTCAAAATTGGCACGGGTATGCCATGCGGACGTTGCCACCGGAGCCGTCGGTGCAGCCCCATGTGAGGCCACGAAACGTGTGGGGGGTGCGCCGAAATGGATGGTGGAACCACGTGCGGGCGCTGCCACTAGCGCCTTTGCGGGCCACGAAACGTGGAAGGGGTGGGCCGAAATGAAGGTTGGAACTGCATGCAGAACCTGCCACTGAGGCACTGGATGGAACACTCTACGGGGCCACGAAACGTGCGAGGGGTGCGAAATGGACGCAGAACTGCATGCGGACCCTGCCACGGGGGCCTTCGGCGGAGCACCCTATGGGACCACGAAACGCGCGAGGGGTGCGCCGAAATGGAGGTGGAACTGCATGCGGACCCTGCCACTGGGGCCTTCGGCGGAGCACCCCATGGGGCCGCGGAACGTGCGAGGGTTGCGCCGACATGAACGGTTGGAACTGCATGCGGACCTTGCCGCTGGGGCCTTCGGCGGAGCACCCTATGGGGCCACGAAACGTGTGAGGGGTGCGCCGAAATGGGGGTGGAACTGCATGCGGACCCTGCCATTGGGGCCTTCGGCGGAGCTCCCTATGGAGCCACGAAACGTGCGAGGGGTGCGCCGAAATGAGTTGTGGAACTGCATGCGGACCCTGCCACTGGGGCCTTCGGCGGAGCACCCTATGGGGCCACGAAACGTGTGAGGGTGCGCCGAAATGAGTTGTGGAACTGCATGCGGACCCTGCCACTGGGGCCTTCGGCGGAGCACCCTA